CGATTTTGATTGCTTCTCCCGGTGAAGATGATAAAATTTTGAGATCAAAACGCTGTAAAAGTAGCTCACCCCATTTAATTTAAAATCAAATTTTCATTTCAACTTTATTTGACCTTATAATTTGATTAAGACTAAAATGACATGGTTAAGCCATTAAGGCCATGTGTGGTTAATTTTTCTGGGCTTGGTTCTTTTAATTTTGCTCATTTTAAATAAGTATGTATGGACAAGAATGAATAACATTATAGTATTTGGTTACAAAATTCTTTCCATGAGATACATTATTTTTAGAATGAAAAATTAGTTCCATAGCACAAAAATTGAATAGCCACAACATGAAAAATAATCATGCCCCATCTTGATCATTTTCATTCATTGAGGAAATTCCGCCTACAAAACTGTTGTCATAGATGATTACTTTTGTGAAAGCACTTTTACGAAAGTATTTTTATAAAAGTATTTTTACGAAAGCATTTTTACAAAATTACTTTTACGAAAGCATTTTTATAAAAGTAAATTTATGACGTACTTTTATGAAAGTACTTTTATGAAAGTACTTTTACAAATGTACTTTTATAAAAACACTTTCACGAAAGTATTTTTATAAAAACACTTTTACAAAAATAGTTTTATAAAACATCTATGGCAACTGATAAATATTGACTGCTAGCCATCCACAATAAACATCTATGCCATATGGACAAATTATTATTTTATTTATTCATATTTTGTTAAGATTGTGGGGCCATTGCTCGGTCTCATGGTAAATTCTCAGGCTAACAAGCATGAGAATGCAAGTTCTAGATAAGAAAAAAAAAGAGGAGAGAAATTTTAGATCCGTTTCTAGTCCACTCCTCCCAAGACCCTAGAGAGCCTGGACCACATGCATAATATCCTCTTTATCTTTTGTTAGGACTTGGGAGATAAGCTGTTGCAAATTTGAAGACTTTTGGGCAATGAGTCTACTGTTCTCATAAACAATGCGGAACTAGCATTCAAGTTAGGCCTTGATCTTGCTTGGAGATAAACTGATAAGTTAAATATTTAATTGTGTTCATGCTCATGCTTGGTAATCTTGATGTCTTTATTTCAATGCTTTTCCCTTTTGAGCAAAGTTTGCATAATTAATTATTATAAGGTTAAAGCCTTCGTTTCTATATATGAAAATTTTACCTCTTACCTTTATCATTAATATTTGATAATGAACAGTTTCAATTGCTGCCTACTTCATCACTGCTGATAAAACAATCTTTTAGAGTGTGTAGGGACAAGGAGAAATAACATAGCAGAGTACGAGAAAAACAGCTTAAGAGTTTGGATTGGATGTAACGTAGCAATATTCCTGGGTCATGTTAAAATAACACTGACTATTAATTTTGGATCATGGCCTGTTCGAACTTTGTGTTGTACTCTGTGTGTTGTTTTGATCAAGGTTCAAAGTATTTGTGGTGTATTATAGTGGTCAAAATTCCGACTTGTCACATTGGTGACCTGGGCTCATTCTCAAGCCCTAGCAATAAGAAGTCCATTACCCGATGTTGGTCTTGATCCCATTTGTCTGGCATGGGTCTTGGGAGAGGGGTTGTTTAGGCAAAGTGGCCCCAAGAGGTGATAAGATGAGGAAAGGTGGACTACGATGGTTCGAAGACCATCTACACAAGGGCATGATGCCATGATAAAAATTGATGGGGACTGAATTAGTGAAGAATGATTTAAGGGTCCACAATTTAGCAGTGGATATTGGCATGGAACAGGTTGGAATGATGTAACTGTTAATGTCATTTTGAATTTTTCATTCACGAATCTCTTAAAACTAGAGGAGAAATCAAATACATCTTTCAAAAAACAGGGGAGGTGAGTGAACATTCAAAGAAACATAACACATTTTTGTGTCCGACTATCGACACAGAAACGGTATCATACCCAAAATAATAGTAGCCAATCGTCTCGCAATTTTTATTGGTTAAGGTGCGCTTTGGTAAGTCTTTTTTTTGAAAGATTTTTCAGTAAATTTGATTGTCAAAAAACGATGTAAGTGTTTGCATTAAGATCTTAGCAACTTGAAGACCATTTGATTATGAAACGTCTTTCCATACAAAAACATAATAAAAAAAGTAAAAAAAATATATATATTTTATTTGGAGTTTCCCGAATATAGTCCAAAATGAGCTTCATGCATCTTTTTATGGCAGTATTTTTTGGTGGCCAAGTCTTTTCCAACCAAACGGAAAAAAACCAAAATGTGAACTACTGGATTTTTAAGCAGCCAACAGCCCACATGAAAAGGCATGCCAAACAGGGCCTAAATTTTCTCAGGTATCCTACATTTATAGCATCATAGAAATTGCCCAAATTTTTATATTATCATTTGCCAAACTAGCAAGAATGGTCACCACACATCTCACGGTTTACTAATTGGACTCTGGGACAGCCACAAAACAAGGGTTATGAAATCCAATCCAAAGTAAACACGTTTATGGTTTTCAAAACCAGATCAGACCGGACTGTCAGACTAGAAAAACCGGAAATTGGTCATCTAATTGGTTCTGTTTTACCCTAAAACCATTTTTTAATAAAAACCGTTAATTTGGTCAATGAACTGCTGACCCGAGCAGTTGAACCATTGATTCAGACAATATTTTTTGGCCGTTTTTTTTTTATTATTTTAATCTTTTTAATTTTCTGTGAGTGTGGGCCATTCGTTCGAATTGGACGGCCAGACCATCTGATGACTATTGAGATCATCACTTATGTTTTGACTCGTGATTAAATTATGTATCCCTTTGTGCACATCTTATGTGTAAGAGATCCGATCTCCTTAATTATTAGTGTTTCTAGTTCCAACCTGGTTTACATGTGATGTTTCTAGCGGATTCAGCTAGAGTCTAATCGTGCGTCACACCATTTTCTGCTTCCAAGGTTACCCACAAACAATTGTTCATTGGGTTCCTAGAGATATTTATGTGCACACATAACGTAAGCTGTTAAAACGAGAAGTTTGTAGTTATGGACCTAGGGCTCTTCATCCTACCAAATGCAAGCTAACATGGTTCATGAAAGGAATCTTGGACTAGATGCCCATTATGCAGCTGGAAGGGAGAGAGTCCATATTTTATCTTCCATGAGTAGATAATAAAAGATGTCATTTTCTTCAATTAATTTGGACATACGCATTTTAAGTAGATAAAATGTCTAGGATTCATAGATTAATTGAATTTTTAGGGGCAGCTATCAGATCGGTACAGACCTGGTTCGAATCCTGACTTTTAAGTGGGGGAAGCTGGAAGCCAATCTTTTTCAACTAGTTAACCAAGCCAATCAAGCTGTAAATGCACGCATGAATCTGGCTATGTCAAAAATAAAATTGACCACCTCTCACCTTTCCGTTTGATATTTTGAATATTTGATTTCACTACATCTCTCTTCTTCTATTACTATAACCATTGAGTGTCCACCAACAATATCATCAAAAGCCTCAAATTACTTTCATCGCATTTACCAATTCCTTGCATTTTTGGACTATATATTGCTAAAATTATGACAATTAATTCTAATGAAAGGAATTGCTAATCCTCAATTCTTTTATTAACAACAACCCACTCTGAAGAAAAGAGGAAGGACTTTTCCAAACTTGTTGGAAATGGGAAAGGGGAATTATATTGGCTGATCATTCGATGGGATTTCTCTCTGTTAACATTGTTTATATAGAAATTTTTTTTTTTCAAGTTTTTTCTTCAAAAATTGACAAAATGTAAAATAAAACACACGCGGATTCCAACACAAATGTATGAATCAATCAATAAATAAATAATGCGATAGAGAATTATTTAGTTGACACTTTCCACATGGGAAAAAGGGTTTTATCTCAGCTGCCACCTAAGCGTAAGCGATGGAGTTCTGACCAAAATGAACTTTATGTCGGACTTTATTGAACGCGGTGTGGCAGTTGATGGGTTCAAGAGACCGATCTGTGGGCTGCTGGTGTGGATAAGAACACGCTTATCAGACGAGCCTTTCAAGTTTATGGCCGAGATTTTAGTGCCCATCAAATACTATGACTTGTACTCTCGTCAACCGCCTTATCCAGCTACCCTCTTCTCTTATCTCTCTCTACTCTCATCTATGATGAACTGATTCGACTCAAACCCACGAAACCCTAACTTTCTATGATTACAGTTAATTTATATTAACAATAACTTATCTGCCACAAAGTCAAAGACCTTCTTTGATTCTATAAAAAGAAGCAAAACAAGTTATCTGAGCTTTTTTTTTTCTTGAAAAATCACCATTGTTGTTTTAACTTTTGCGGTGAAGTGATTTATCTAATAAGTAAGAAAAAGAAAGGGTTGAGATTTGGGTATAACCAGAAGAGTGATTCAGATTTCTGAGATGAGAGGGTCAGACGGAGGGGTTGATCATGGGACCCAGAATTGAACAAGGCACAAACAAGGAGCTAATGGAGTAAAATCAAATGGTTGAAACCGCCTAATCAGAATCACTTCTATTTAATGGCCAGAGTGGTCGCCCAAATCCCATGGTCTATTCTTTGACCATGGGATTTGCATAATTTCCAAGTTTGGTTTAAAAGAAAAATTGGAGGTAGATGCATTTGCAACATAGATCTTGCTAAGTAGGTGAAGCCAGCAGTTGGTGTTTTTGTTAAATCTAGAAGATCCTCTTTTACAGGACTCAAGTCTCTCCATGGATTCCGTGAAATATTAAAATTAAAAGGAAAAGGACAATACTTTGTTATGGAGGAGGATGGTGACTGGGATATGAAGTGATTGCCTTCAAACCTTTGGATCTTATCCTCTTTCTCTGATACAGTGACAACGCCAAGTAATTCTAACCACAACGATGATAACCTCGAATCTCTAGATAAAGCAAAACACCAATACATTAAATCAATCTTTATTCTCGAAAATTCTTCATCAATAACTTTGTTTCCCACTTCCCATCTAAAGTCTAAACATAAACCGATAAACCTCTCTCTCTCTCTAGACTCTAATCAATTATTGTATTACAAAATCATAGAAAAATTACGTGTATACGGATATATATTCTGCTTCAGCAAAGGCCTAGTTCGTATGCATGACAAAAAGATATATAAGTCTTTTCTGACCAACGCCCTTTGAGCATCTCCTCCTTCTTCAGGCTTGGTTTCATGATGGGTGAAGGCCGAAATCAAAATTTTCGAGGCCCAATCTTGACAGCAATTCATTCTTTTCCTCCCAGTGCTGCAAGGCATGATCAATGGGCGGCCATGGATGGTGACGACGATGTTTGTGACTCTTCATCTACTGCATCTTCCTTCGAAGACTCAGCAAATTCCATTGCTTCATCTTCTTCATTAGACTTCACAGAGGATGCCTCTTCCTCGAGTTCGTCTTCACCACCACCGCCGGTTTCAAAGGGGCCCTTGTATGAACTATCTGAGCTGATGGCCCAACTTCCCATCAAGTGAGTAAATTAGCTAGCATCCGATGGTTACTTGTAAGTTATTGACGCCTGAAGCATCAAATACTCTCGTTACAAAGATTTATGGGCATTCTGTGTTTTCAGGAGAGGACTTTCAAAGCATTATCAAGGCAAATCCCAGTCTTTTACATCTCTTTCCAATGTGAGGTGCATAGAAGATCTGATAAAGAAAGTGAATCCCTACAAAAAGAAAATGAAGTCGTCTAAGAGCTATGGTGGGTTGGACACCAACAAATCATATACTCCTAAAGCTTTCATATCGAAGAAGACCTCAAGGAGCTCTTTTTCATTGCTAGGTAAGAGAAATAGCTTCATGGGTTGCTGAAGGCTTCCTATTCCTCTGCATAGAGGAATTTGAGATTATTTTTCCAACTTGAGTCACTGGCCAAATGCAAAACAACAGTAGCAGATTGGGTAGCCAAATTGTCGTGGATGATTTTCTCTTACCTGAAAAGATCTGGGAAATTGCAAATTGTATGTAATCGTATAGTGAAGCAGATAATTATGGACCAGGGAATCAGAGCAAACTTGTGGATGATTGGACAGTTATCTTTCCCAAAAACAAAAAAAAAAAAAGGAAAATGTATTGAATGGTTACAGTAACCATGGAATCCTGATTAGAGGATCAAATTCTGTGTCTAAGAAACTGATTTCTTTAGGAGATCTCCATCTGTGCATCGACTTCATGATTTCCCCCTTGCTCAAGTGCATCTCCTCAACCTAAAAATTCATCCATCAATCTTAGATGCAATATTACACCCAAGGACTAGAAAGAAGGGCCACTTCCCTCTCTTTGAATTAGGAAATTATACAAAAATACAAGAAGGAAGCACCCTGTGGATGAAGCACTTCATTGACCATTTCCCTCTAGTCTGCCCAACAAAATGGTAATTCCTTTCTTTTTTGTGATCATATTTTTAACTGTAGGATTAATCCTGCTACAAAAGGCAGGAGCAGAGCACCATCTGCTATAATTTCGATCCGCAATCATATAATGCACAGGGTTATCAATTCATTACTAAGAGATGTTTTGGGAATGTCATAGATATAATTTGCTTAAATTCCTATAGAATTTCCTAGACGTATAATTATTTGAAGTATAACTGTCATTGCGACCATTACAGATGAAAAACCTCTACATGTCATTCAAAGTCATCGATGGAAGCCATGACACATTTCAAGTTTCAACCCAATTAACCCCACCTTAGGCAAGCCATCGGCAATCTCCTTGTCCTAGAAATCCATTTAAGGCACGAGTATAGGAGTTCAAATGTAAACATATCTTGTTTAACATGGACACTTTCCAAGGACCTCTCATGGCATTTGCAAAGTATCTTCAGTCAAAAGGGAGATGGGGGGTTTCTATAATTCTATTGCTAATTTGCTAGCTGCCTAAGGCCTAAAAGGATAGCTCTCACCTAAGTTTTTGCCAAAACCGTATCTCCAATGGGTCGGGACTCGGGGTCTATTCTATTGGATACACAGATTAATTCTAATGTCTTCCCTCCACCATCCCCTCAATCTTTGAAGGATAAACTGCCATTGAATGTCAAACGCAAGTCCTCTTGCGTTGCAAATTACAATGGGAATAGATTGTAAAATTAGTTGGTTTTTAGATATCCCTCAATACTTATGTGAGGTGTGGACTTGGATATAGAGTCATACATCCATCTAACCTTTGTTATTATTATTATTTTTTTTTTGTGCCAAGTGGAAATTCTGATTGGAATGCATGCCTTCATGATTGTCAGCCCAATATTTTAACATTGGAGTTACCAAGCAATGACCAAAACCCACACCCATGACTATTTATATATTTAGAAAAATGAAGGAAATCAGAGAACCTAAATAACAAGTCAAGCCCAAGTTCACCAAGTTTAATCCAAAATATATACAAATGGACATGCTCAGGTTGGGCTGATCAGGCTCAGGTTACATGAGGCCTCAACCCGAGCCCAACCCAAGTTTGGGTTAGGTCCAATTTTAATTTTCTAGGCTTAACCTGGAGCCCAAATTTTCAAACCCAACCTGTGCAGAAGCTTGGGTTAAATCGGATTAAGCTTAGCTTCTTCCAACAGTGTCTAAGAAGAGCAACTTCTGTTAAGCCAAGAAAATATTGAGAATTAAAAAGTGAAAGAAATTAGCAGAAATTTAAAAAAAAAATGTTACTGAAAATCATAGTGTTTCAGGTGCTAAATTGAGGCAATTGGCAGGACTCAACTAAGGCATTTTGAGGAACATTTTGTATTCTTAGAAGATCTGCATCTGTTTTCTTTGTCCTTTTCTTTTTTTCATTTGGTGTGTGGGGGGAAGGGATCATAGAAAGGTCTCCATGCTCATAAATTCCACTCTCTAAGATTACAAAAAAAAAAAAAAACTTTCTGAATTATGTTTAAGCTGTGTTTGGTTGCAGTTCAAATCTGAACCAGATACAAATATTACATCCAGTCCAGTTTTGAATGGTAGCAATGATTTACACTCCTAGTTAATGCAGTATTTGTACTTTTTGTCTCATTTGCACATCCTTCCTCCTACCTCAATTCTCTCTTTCATATAAAGTGGAGAGTCTGGAGACCACATCAATACATCATCTTGTTTCCTACTTCATTCCCAAACAAATAACCCTCCTCCTACCTTCATTTTTTTGTATAAGAAGGTGGGATCACACTATTTTACTTTTCACAAACAAACAAGACAAGGTCAAATCTGTAGTAAAAGTAAACCGGATTTTACACTTAACATTTTTACATTCTTGTGCATTTACAATGGTGCAAATTGCAATTAAAACAGCCTTAGGCACCGAAACGATCTCAATCAAAATTAAACAACTCCACGAGCATACGTTTCTACTGGATCACTGTAAAATTTTGCTCGATGCATGTAAGGAAAATCCATCCAAGCTGGAAAATGCAAGAAGAGGAACCTTGTGCTTCCACAAGTAAAGAAATGCATGCAGTTTGATTCTCTTCCAAGTTCCAATATTTTCAAATCTGGCATTCTGGCACTTGGCTCCTCTTTTTTGTCCTTTTATTGGGCTCCCAGCCATATTTGGGCACTATCTATTTTGTTGGTTCAACGGGGATGATGGCAAAGATGATGTGGGAAGGCTTCTCAGAAGCAGCTTGTTTGGTAATGAGGACGTAGAGTGAGGAAGCTGAGGTTGCTTGGCTGGTAATGTTGGAACTTGAAACTGAATTGTAGCTGTACAATTGTCAGGGATAAAACCAATGGTGCTGGTCATCTGTGATATATATATACTACCACTTAACCCATTAGACAATAACCAAACATCTCTTCCCACCATATTTGGATTTTGGATAGTAGCCTTTGTGCTTGTGCCTTGTGCCTGTGAGTAGTGAAATGAGTGATCATGGACTCGGCTCAGTCTGGGCTTAGCACCTATTATAAAGTGGCATAGCCCCGGGTCTAGGCCGAGCTTGGTATTCAATGAAGCGTAAGCCCAGGCCTAGCTAGGCTTCAGGGCCTACAACGTGAAGGCTGAGTTGGTTTCCTAAGACAATAAGAAAGAAACAGAAACTTGAGAGGTAGTTTTCAAGGAATTCCACAAAATTTGTTAACAGTTTTCCCTCAATTGTTTTCGTTTTGTTTTTCTCTTTTTTTGTTTTTTCATCAAACCAAGTATAGTTTAAATTATATAAAAATATATGTTACATCTAATATAATATAAAATATTTTATATTCCTGAAAAACTAATACCCAATCAATTGATATTTGTTTAAATTCATCATGGGTTTCTGATTGATTAAAGTTTTTCAGGTATCATACCTATCGGGTATATAAAAGGTGCCCATATATCAAAAAGGAAAATTCCCGATTAGTACCCTGTACTTTGGGCCTAGTGTCATTTTGGTCTCCGAACTTTAACATGCGACAATTCAGTACTTGAACTTTCAAAACGTGTTGATCCAGTACCTATTGTTAATCAATTGTTAATCATCCATTAAGTGGCATTTAAAAAAGATATTAATACCCTTCAAGTGTCATCTAGTTTTTTTAATCAACCATCCAAATGTTGACAAAAAATTAATAGTCCAAAATCCTTGCATTTTCTATTCAAGAGTGTTGACAAAAAATTAACAGACCCCAACTTTTTTGAATAGAAGAGGCAAGAATTTGAGACTGTTAATTTTTTGTCAACATTTGGATGGTTGATTAAGAAAATTAGATAACACTCGAAGGACATTTGTGTTTTCTTCAAATGCTACTTAACGGCTGATTAACAATTGATTAACGACAAATATAGGATTAATACGTTTTGAAAATTCAGATACCGTAAATTATGACATTTTAAAATTCGAGAACCAAAATAGCACTAGGCCCAAAAATATAGGGAATTTTCCCATATCAAAATTACAAAATATGTATTTCTAGCAATCGAACCCAAGCCGGGCCTGGTCGCAAAACTTGCGCGCTGAAGCCCGGAAATTCGCGGGCCGGGCTACTGGCTACAACCTACAACAAGTGATCACCGCTGTGATCCATGTTGACATGGTACAAAAAATTAAACGGTTAAAGCAGCCAATCAGTGGGTCCCACTTTTATAACCGGCAGATACGGGATAAATTTTCGTGCGCATGACACGTTAGCATAGTCCGGGGTAAAACAGTAATTATAAATAATATTTTTAATTAAAGAGACAAATAAAGAATTAAATGGGATAACGTGTCATGTCCAGGAGGAAGCTTCAGCCTTCAAGCAAGCCGAGCTGTTTTTTCCAAACAGCGTAGCTTTTGTCGAATCTCTCAGACTCAGCTTACATACGGCAAACGGAAACCAAATACGAGAATGGTAGATCGTAAATTTGTGAAAGCACCACAGGTTGCTTAGAGCAGCGACAAGACAACAACGACGCAATTGAACCCAACAAGAAAGAGCGAGAGTTTAGAATTGGGGAAAAGCTTTCGTTGATTGTTCGCTCTTTGGTTTCTGGCTTTTTGGTTGGGGACTGGGGAGGAAGCAGGAAAGGGAAATGTAAGAAGAAGAAGAAGAAGAAGAAGCAAGTAGCAGAAGAGGGACGATGGGAAATAAGATTGCACGCACGACCCAAGCGTCGGCGTCGGAGTATTACCTGCACGATCTCCCGTCGTCGTACAATCTGGTCTTGAAGGAGGTCCTAGGGCGAGGCCGTTTCCTCAAATCGATACAGTGCAAGCACGACGAAGGGCTCGTCCTCGTCAAGGTCTACTTCAAGCGTGGCGACTCCATCGATCTCAAGGAATACGAGCGTCGCCTTTTCCAAATCCGCGAAACCTTCCGCTCCCTCCAACACCCTCACGTCTGGCCCTTTCAAGTATTAATTCCATCTCCCTCTCGCTCTCTCCTCCGCAATCACCATTAACCTTATCTAGATATGTCTCCTCCTAATAATCCAATTCCTCTCTTTCCTTGTTTGTAGTACTGGCTTGAAACGGATAAAGCAGCTTATCTTCTCAGGCAATACTTCTTCAATAATCTTCACGACCGATTGAGTACTCGGCCTTTCCTTAGTTTGGTCGAGAAGATATGGTTGGCCTACCAGGTGAGGCAATTCTGGTACTTCTGATTCTGTTTTCTGGAGCGTATTTGCATTTTTTCCATTTATTGTTAGAATGATGACGCCTTGGCCTGTTTATGCGAGTGCGGATTTCTTCTTTTGATTTTCTTTTTTTCAGATTCAGTTGCCTACTTAGATTTATGGTTGTGCAGTTACTATATGCAGTGAAGCAGAGCCACGAGAATGGTGTTTGTCATGGTGGGACTTCTTTTTGTTCGGGCCAATTGCATTGGATTTCGAGTTCTGGTCTAGTTAAAGGCCGTAATTTGGGTGTTTTGCATCTCTACAGGTGATATCAAGTGCGAGAATGTTTTGGTCACATCTTGGAATTGGCTTTACCTCGCTGATTTTGCGTCTTTTAAGCCGACTTACATACCTGATGATGACCCCTCCGATTTCTCGTTCTTCTTTGACACTGGAGGGAGAAGGCGCTGTTATCTTGCACCAGAGGTTGGTTTTGTTGTCTCCATTGCATTTCTTGTAATATGCGTCAAATTTGTACCGTTTCAATTTTTTTTGGATGCCCACTTGTTTAGAGAGTATTAGTATTAGTATTTTTTTTGTTCAGTGTGGTATAAGGTTTTCTTTTTGATAGATTGGAATCCAGTAACATAGATGGAAATGACTAATAACTAAGGTTGCACGAGATTACCAATAAAATATAATGATTGCATGAATGCTCATCTCTTTCATTTATGGATAACAAATCATTTCATTGTAGAAGGAAGAAAGAGAATGGGAGTTGTACTGATCACAAGAAGAGGAATAAGAATTGCTCAGTCTAAAAGATCTATGGCATGTGAGTGGTGCTAGTCCATTCAGCATCTCTGCAGAAAGGAGAAACAATGATGAATTGACTACTCATTCTAGGCCAACTAACTCTGAATTTTCTACTCTTTTCACTAAGGTCTTTGGGAGTGGATGAAGATTTTTTTTTTTCACTTTACACCCTAGTTATGTTAACAGAGGTCTGACTTTCACTTCACCTTTAGAAAAGTAACAGCTAACTTAAGACTCAAACCCAATTTACAGTGATCAAATCCACCTTCACATTGTTCAAAAGAATGAGCCTGCAGCATGCCCCATGTTTCAATTGTCTGGGGCTGCCAACCCAGATAATAAATCAGAATACCAGTAATTCAGTAATGATGGTCATAATTCTGAGCTTCTCTTTTAATTTTTCTTCTAAAGGATACTATCTTCATATGGGCCTATTTGGAGAATATCCTGATTTATTGGTCTTTGTTCTTCGTAGTTAGTTTATTGGAGAAAATGTCTTTACCGCTAACCTGGTAGCTGCAAGAATGGTAAAATGCTAAAGCTTTTAGTATGGAGCAACATAACTGACACCTTAATATTAATTGGGCTCTTTGGACGCTGCTTAGGTGGATAGACCTATCATGGGTAGGAGTGATTTTTCTTTTTTTTTTTATGTTGGATAAACTTTCCTATCAAATGAATAAAATCTCATTGACAGATGCTTTGATGATTTAATGGTGCTAACTAATTTTGGTTAGGCATAGTGGTTTCCATACCCCATATCTGTGATCAAATTTTACATTAAACATTCTAATGATTGATCATTGACCACTGGTCCAGTTATAAATCCTAAATACAAAAATTGAAATGAATGAATATCAAGAATAATTGCATTTAGAGGAGCATAGGATTACTCCTGCCTTCTCTTTTTCTTTTTCCCTTTGGGCATGGGAAGGGAGCTATATCAAAATTCAACTCCACCCTCTTTTGTGCTGAAGGGACCCGTTGTTCCTTGGAAGCTCTTTAGGCAATCCATGTCCTTTTGGAGTTGGGGGAGCTTTTAGAGATGGGGGGGGACTGACTTAAGAGCCAAGATTATGGCCTTACTCCAAGGCTTGAGGTTGGCTAAGCAGTGGGACTTTCACCAAATTGAGGTAGAAGGGGATTCTAAACTACTAATTGGATGGATACAGTCAAACAGGTTGGGGGTCTGGATACATAGACAGCTTATGAGGGAAACCAATTGCTTAGTAAGGGAGGTTGGGGTTTTGTTTAGGTGGACTAGGAGATCAGCAAATGGATTACCTGATACTTTGGCAGAGCAAGGAACCTTCGGGGGCAATTTGTTTTGGGCTGTTTTGTAATCTTGAGGTAAATCTAAATATTGGGGTCAACACCTTTGTTTTGGGTGGTGACAGTTTACTCCTTTAAATGTTTCATTAATTAAAGCATTTCCAATCAAGAAAAAAAGGGGAAGGGAGCTAAACTGTCTATCATCATCGAAGCCTTATCTCAACTGTATGGGGAAGGGAGCTACAATTACCCTCTAATTTGTTGGCAACATATCAAACATTGAAACCATCTTCATCTTAAACTCATAATACCCTATTCAATCCACATGTAAATGTCATTCCCATATACATTTGAAAATGAGTGGACTATGGTCCCGAGGATGATTGTTGATAGACATATTTGCCTAGGCAACTATCCTTTATTTTTTGTTTTGATGTATTAAGTCTCTTTCTATATGGGGGCGCAACTTAGGTCAGGTTGGATTGGGAATTTGTCAAATGTACAATGGCCCTGAACCTTAACCCAAGCCCAATTAATTGAAATTCTTCAAGCCTTACAGCATGATTCCTATATATTCATCTAGAAAATATAAAGTTGTTTCTGGTAGCAGTAACTCTCATTTGTTCCATGTCACATTTTTCAAGAGATTATTATTTTGTTATTTTGTTACTTATCAAAAAAAGAGACTATCATTTTGTTTGGCATTTCAAGTTAACTGTATACCATCTCTCAGAGATTTTATGAGCATGGAGGGGACACACAAATTGCATCAGATGCACCATTAAGGCCATCCATGGACATCTTCTCTGTAGGGTAAGCATTCTTTATTTCTAAAGCCATTTTACTGAATGTTGATGCAAGTTCCTATTCATATATACATATATTTAACTACAATTTGGTGTAGGCTATATGAAAACTACTTTATCATTCCACTACCAAGTGCTATTTATTTTATCAGATTGTCAACACTGAGGCTATATATGCACATACAAGGAAAAATCTGTAGTTTGTATTTGAGGATTGTGCTCTGTAAAGAACTAAAGATTTAATATGAACAATGCTATTACAGAATCTGTTTTATTTTGAAGGTAATATGTATAATTAGAACAGACGTATAACATGTTATGGTTTTGAGCATTCTTCATTATGCCATTTTCATCTGATGAATAGACTTGTTAGACAAATCTGACTTATTTTGGGGAGTCTGTTGCTAGGTTCACTGTATAATGGTTCATTGTACATGGTTCTACTTTTTGTTATTTCTTGTTTGAAAACAAATTATTAAGAAGTTGCATTAAGCTCTACATTTATACAAAGTAATAAATTGGGCTCTCACTACATTATAGCATATAATTAATCACATTTAAGTGTTATTACATGAGTATACCATTGTTCTTGTATATATTAATCCTTTCCCTCGAAACTCAGAACATACTGTAATCAGTTAATGTATATCTTGTCTAAGCATATTAAGCTCCTATTTTGAAACACTAAAAATAATTATTCAAATAAATACTTATTTTAAGTGGCAGGACCACACAATAAGTGGAAAATAAGCACTTATTCATGTTTGGCAAAAAAAGCCCAGAATAAATGCTTGGCCTTTTTTTACTAAATAAGTACCTATTCTTTCTTTTTTTTTTTGGGGGGGGGGGACAAGACTGTCCCCAATGTTTTATTCATTTTCCAGGGACTGCCCCCATCTTCAAAAGAAGATCACTGTTCACTTCCGTCTCCTCCAGCGGAGACCCGAACTAACAGCAGTGATCGAGCACCCTTCCACATAACCACCACCACCACCTTCTCCTATTCCTTCCTCCACCATCATATATGAATCTTGCCCGAACCACCAGTGCCTATCTCTCCTTTATTTATCTATTTATTTTTTCTCTTTATCTTCTTCTTCTTCTTCTTCTTCTTCTTCCTCTCTCTCATTCTCTCTCTCTCTTCTTTCTTTCCTTCCTCCTTCCTCCTCCCTTGCTCTCTTTCCCTCCTCTCTTCCTCACACTGCTACTGCAGTGAACATAGAAACAGGTTCAGTTATGGGATAAGTATTTATTTATTTGTCTTTGTGCTTATCCAATATATGGTTATGTTAAGTTAGGGCTATAATTGCCATTTCCGCAAATATAAGTACTTATGGGATAAGTGACTCACCAAACACTGCAGCACAAATAAGTACTTAAAATGAGTATAAGTGGTTTGAGAAAAGACCTCCCAATAAGTACGTATTTTCCAAACATACCCCAAATGGGATACCTGCGCCTTTATTTGTGCTAGACTTGTAGGCTCATTTCCTGTATCTGTTTCCATGTTGGCATCTGTATCTGGGGATCATAGCTAACTGGTGCTTATAAGCTAGCATAGAGATGGCATTGACGGTCCATGGGCATATTGTCACTGTGTCATGATATTAGAAAAGCTAGGGATTTAATTTCCAGGGTGAACATCTCTTTCAGATGGATTAAGAGATCGGCTAATGCCATGGCTGATAGTCTAGGAGATTCCCAGGATATTCATTACCTTGTATTTAGAATTTAGTAATTACTATTTGATATTTTTTTCTGGTTTGCTCCATAGGGAAGTTTTGTATCTTGTTAGTTATTTGTGAGGTGTCTGAATAGTTGAATCAGCAGCTATATTAGTAAATGCATCTAGTTGATCTGTTCACAAATAAAAAGGGCCATTAACCAATGTTGGTCCTGGTTATCCAGGGTCTTGGGAGGGGTGGACTGGATACAGACCTAACTTTTAGCATTTTCTTGAACAAAGTGGCCACTTTCAGACTTGAGCATGCACTGTCACATTTGTCATCCCCAGATTTCATCATCACACTAATCAAAGATCTGAACCTGATCACCAATAAAAAATGTTAATAAAATTAAAAAAGAAAAAGAGAAGCCAAGACAACCTAAAGAGCATCTTTGAATTGAATTCAATTCCCTAATACCTGTTGAACTTCAAGATTCCAAGGAATTCACAAACTAGAAATTGGAGCATAATATGTGATAGGACTACTTCTGAAAGAGGAACATTATAGGGAGATTCCAATTGAGAAGTACACCCCCACCCAAAAACAAAAAGAAAATCATATATCTTCTGAGAAGAAAGCCATTCCCAGTGTTGGTCTATTCAGGGTCTTTAGAGTGGTGGACTGTAAACAGACCTAACCTTTGGTATATTTTTGCACTCGCTGGGCACTCTCAGTATAAATCTTTTGAGAATCTAGTCCTATTCCTAGAAACTAAATTGTATTTGATGATTTGGAAAAAAAATAGGGAGAAACTCATTAATGGATTTCTGATGGCAAATAGGTAACCCTATTGACAGAACTAGTGTTTATACCATTGCTGTGATACCATACTTTCTTATGATAATAGAATGCCCGTAACTTAACTGTTCCATGCAAAGCAATGTAGCCATTTGTCCTTAGCTGAGATGTATTTCTATCTCTTATCTTGACTATGTAGTTGGGACCTGGGACTTGAGCAAAGGATTTTGAAAAAAAAAAGACCACACAGCAATAGGATATTAATGTATTGTATATCAATTCAGATTGCTGATATCCGCAGTTGATGCCCAATGGGAACATATCACCTTTACTTCTTCCAAAAATTTTCATTTCATATTGCAAATGTAAAATGTCAAGAAAATTTTCATTTCAGGATAAAGACTTGCACCTTCTAAATTCCAAGTCCTTAAACACTAACAGGGGCAAAGCCAAGATGTTTGAACTTTGGCTGTGAGACCGGGGGGGGGGGGGCTCACGGGAAGCGTGTACCCTCCAATAGGAGGTTCAACCGGAGTACTGGACAGAAAAAGACTATGAATTCATTCAAACTCCCCTTCCCCCATTTTTCATCCGAGCCCAAAACAGAAGCAACCAAAACCTCCAAGATTGTGTCCATTTTCCTTATTGCAGTCTCATTGTCTGAACTTGCTCTGGCGAACTATGCAGCAGTTATCACAAAGCAATGGCTAGTCTATATCACAGTCCTTGAATGGTCAGTCCAGAAGAGTGGGATTTGGGAGTTCCTGCTGCCTCCGTGGGAAGCTTGCAACTACAGACATATTATTCTGATGAACGGCAACCATTTTTTAGCATTGAATCATGGATGGAACAGGAATGAAGTGAGATACTGTGTGGCAATGCCGACCAACAACGATTTTCTAGCATTGAATCTTGGATGGAACAGGAATGGAGCGACTGAGCGAGTCCAGATCTGGGATTCAGTTTGGGAGCAAGACACAGTGGACCTAACGTGTTACAAATTTTCTGAAAACTATTTCTTCCAATGAGGTGATACAGTGGACCTAACGTGTTATAAATTTTCTGAAAACTATTTCTTCCAATGAGGCGATAAATTTTTAAGAAAAATACAAGTTATGTTAAAAATAATTTTAGGGGTTTTGATTTTACGAAAGAGGAAGTGGAAGTGGTAGCAATTCACATAAATGGCAAGCTGGTGGCAGGGGATGTGGTAATGGAGAACGATTTCTTCTTGTGTGTGACAATGAACAGAAAGTGGTGGCTCCTCTTTGACGTCCCAAACCAAGGCGGTGGTGGCGGCATCTGAGGCATCAGCACCGGTAACAGCCACAGCAGGAGTGGTGGGTGAAGCTTCTAAGTGTGCAGCTAATTTTCTTGATTTGTCTATGAAAGCTTTCCTGTTAGGAATTCGAATGAATGGACCTTATCTTTGTGGTCTGCTTCTGTTTAGGGCTCGGGTGAAAAATGGGGGAAGGGGAGTTCAAATGAATTTATATAGGAAAGGGTCTTTAGTTTGTTTTTTTTGTCTTTTTTTTTTCTGTCCGGTTGAACTGGATTCGTCCGCTCAATGGGAAGATAATGTTAATGGGAGTTGTTGAAATAATTTGGTTATTTGTGTTAGGGTCTGTTTGGCTAGTTAAAGCGTTTTTTTATTTCTGTTATTTCTGTTATTGTACTAACTTACAGCAGGGGCACAAGGGTCTTTTCCCTTCTTATTTCTGCCGCCCTATATAATATACTAAAAGCTGGCGCCGCCAGCATTGTTCTATTGCTCCAAACTTTTTCTTCTTCCTTTCTTCCTTCTCCTTTCTCTCTTCTTTCCTTCTCTTCTCTACTTCCTCATATTTCAATCGGATTTATTGTCAAGATGGTGTCAGAGCAAGGCTGTTGAATCTGGGCAGAACAGAGGACTGAATCTGGGTTGATCAAATCAGATCTACAACTGGTACAACCCTAAAGTTTTCTTTCTTTTTTTATTTCTTTCCTTGGTCGTGTACCAAGTGGTGAGCAAATGAATCCAAACCACTGAATGTCGGCAGACTTTTGTTAGGGTTATATCTTTTATTTGTTGAACCGTGTGATCCTGTACCTATGAAAAGGTGACTATAGGTCGTAGATGACCTGTTTTCTCTACTCGTTAGTCTGATTTCATGTGTGTTAGGATCTCTCTTATTGATTAATGCTGTGGTGGAACTTACACATTATTGATTAATGCTGTGGTGAAAATCAGTCTCGTCATAGTTCTTCTTTGGAAGTTGGTGCTGTTTGTTTTTGTGCTCAGATTAAGCCCCTGTTGAATTGTTTTTGTGCTTACCATGTCGTTTGAGAATTTTGCTACTTCAGAGATTTTAGGGAGCCAGAATGGAGTGAGTGGGGGAATGGATATGAGTTTCCCCATGGCTGTTATTCCCTTTGATGGTCTGAACTACCTTGAGTGGTCTAGGGGAATAAAACTCCACATCACTGCTAGGGGGAAAATAGGATACATCAATGGGAGAGTGAAGGAACCGAAGTACGGAAGTGTTGAATATGATAGGTGGAACCAAGAGAATAGTATGGTGATGTCATGGCTCTTGATTTCCATGCTGCCACAGGTAAGGAAGACTTTTATGTGGGCTGAAACTACTTGTGAGATATGGGAACAAGCAAAGTCCACCTATTCATAGCAGGGACACTATGCCAAGATATATCAACTGCAAGTTGAATCCTCTACTTGCAAGCAGGGGGAGAGGAGTCTCTCGATGTACTATTTTGATTTGACATCGATATGGAAAGAACTTGATCACTACCAGAATGTGAATTGGAAGTGTGATGAAGATGCAAAGGTGTATTAGTCACTTGTATCTCAGCAACGGGTCTTTGCCTTCCTCCTAGGGCTGAATCCTTCATATGAGTCTATCAGGGTGTAGATCTTGGGTAGTAAAGACTTGCCATCAGTTCAGGAGGTGTATGCCTTAGTGCAATCAGAAGAGAGTAGAAGTGTGATGAATTGTGTAGAGGGGGAGTTAGTTGGCCTAGCTGTCCGGGGAAATTCAGATACAAATGTCGGAAGTGCTTTTAAGAAAGGTGATTCTCAAAAGAGAACAAATGATAAGAGTAAACTTTGGTGCACTCATTGCCAGAAGACAAGACACGACACACGAGAGATACATGTTGGGATCTCCATGGAAAACCTAAATGGGCACAGGATTTGGGTAAGAAGTCAACA